GGGAAAGAGAGCATACCTTTCTGCACCCAAATAAAAGTAAAGACTTTGTTCAATGACACCTTAATTTAAAAATGAAAAACATAATTAATTTGTCCTAATGCTGTATTTTACTTTGTTTCCATGAGTTAATTCAATAAACCACTTGTATAATTTCATTTCCATTCTAGATAAGTTCTAAGGAATGGCACACTCACATTTACATTACAATTAAAGTATGTGCTAAAGTTGTTCTCAATTTGGGCGGCTTTCGAAAAGTAGGGCTTGTACCAGGAAGATGGTAACCATCATTAAAACCTTTGTTCTTTAAAAACAAACCAACCCTAAAGATAATCTCTTACCTGTTTTGTTTAAAAAAAAAAAAAAGTTTCAAAGGGTGCAAAGTGAGTTTACAATGCTCAAAAGTCTTTTACAATAAAAAGCATCGTAGAGTACAAGCACTGTAATTACACAAGTCTATGTATTTTGTCAAACAACCACTGAAGAGAAACAGCCACAAACTCTCAGTACCTGACACGTGGGAGATATTAATAGTAAAAACATCTAAGTGAAGAGAATGCTATAACAGCAGGCTCCTCACATATTTAAATTCCTAGCACCGTCTGTTTTTAATGGTAACAGGGAGCCAGGCAAGATGGACAACCTCCTGGTATCAGAGACAAGCTTCTTCCTAGTGAAAGCAAACCCCAAACCGAAACGATGAGCTTCAAACCACCTCCTGGATGCAGTGTTGCAGGAAAAAGCATGAAATACCAGATCCAATGTTTAGTAACTGCCTTTCTGTATTTCATTTATCTACACAAAGCCCGATGAGGTGCATGGTGAGTGGTCGTGGGGCAGCGTTACGGCCCCAGAGAGCAATCAGTGAGTAAGCGTAGACGCGTGCTCACGGGCAGGAGACGTACCGGCACTGTCCTCTGCTGGCACAGCCGGCAGTCATCTTCCATCTGCCTGCAGGGCTTTGCAACTGCAATCCACACTGACTTTTGGGACAACGCGTATTTAACGTTACTGATTTTTTAAAAAGGCAGGAGACAGATGGAAATACTTCAACTAGAAATAAAAGGAATAACATGGCTCGCTAAACGCAGTTTGTGTCATCTCATTGCTCTCAGTAGTTTCCACCATAATTAGACACTATCTCCTCTCCTAGGTATCTCCTCCAAGACATCATCTCCCCTCCAAAATCTTAGGCTCCAGTTATTTCTACACATTCAAAATTACAGATGCCCAGGATATCCCATGAAGTAAGATAATTATCTTTTATAAACACATATGATAGACTTACTAAGTGATGTCCTCCAACTCCTCCCACAAATAGCTGCAAGATTACACCAGAATTTTCTGCTAATAATTACTGCTTATTCTTGGTCTGTGAAACACGAAAATGGCAGCAGTTATAAGCAGCATGTGCAACAGATGTCAGCTGGATGTATTGGCTGACTCAGTAGTTGGGCTGTATCTGTACAAAAGCCGCGTTAGGTTACAGGGTAACACTCGTACTAGTATCTGGGAGGGGTAAAAATATTCGCACTGAGAAACAGCCCTGGAATTACTCAAAAATTTCTCAACGCTGCACGAGCACGACTGTCAAGGGGAAAAAAAAAACTATTATTTTTAAGAGATCTGAAAAGCGGAAGCATTGTTGATTATAATTAGCATGTAATCTGAAACTCCAACTATACCATGCAGCACACATGAGACAAGACAATTAGCATTTAATTAGGAGCTTTGCTCACTTTCTTCTACGCACTTTGATAGCTAAAATGATTGCCTTAGAGTATCTCTCACTATTCTTTCATTCCATTTCCTTCCATATAAGTTCCATTTTCCCAGATTTGGGGGGCTTATTTTCTAAAAAGTATTTATTTTTTTTAATACAAATAAAATGAAGATGATGTCTAAAATCTCTAATTTGACAATAAAGCCAAATGGATTTACCCAGACTGAAATACTTATCTGTACAGAACACTCAACAGATTTCCAAAAAGCCCAGGCCACACAAACATAAGCACGTGCATATGAACATGTGCAGTCCCATTAAAACCACTGTGATTATTCATGACTTTTAATGTCAAACACATTTGACCTAAAAGCTTAGCAGTTTTTAATTAGGCAAAAATTCCTCAGATCCAGTCTAAAATGGCATAAAGTAGCTTTAATGGTAAATTGGGACACGGGTTGAAAGGTCAGAAAAAAAAAAATAAATTCTGATCAAGAAGAAAAAGTTTAAGCCAAGTTAAACTCATACATTCTTCCCACCCACAAAGCTGAAAATCTGCCCTTGGAGCAGATGTTGCAAAGCAGTATTCCCTCTGGTAACCCCACGGAAGGCCACACACAAATTTTCTAAATTCTGTCTCTTCCATATTTCACAGACCTGGAATGACAGTTCTCTTAACAAAAACTTCCAGCTTTAGCTCACAACTGCTTACAGGAAGGTATAACAGGAAAAATCTGAATAAGCTGATCTAGAAGGAAATTTTATCTATCTATCTGGCACGTGAATGATAACTATCTCACGCAGGGGGTATCCTGGACACTTTTATGCATAAAGATACCTGGCTGCTAGGAACCTGGAGAAGAGACGGCATGCTAAGGTTCTTAAGGCAATACACAAACTTGGAGCAGAATTTTAACCTGGGACCTTCTCCCATACAGGTTAGAGGAACAGGCTCAGGCACAGTCTGAGTTCAGTGACTCTGGATCCAGGAGCACTAACCCAGAGCAGTGTCAGGCCCCAGTCTCCTGTGAAGGCACAGAGAGAACAGGTAGCACGCACAGAAGAACTGAGCATGTCTATAATTAACCATACGAAGGAAGCAAAAGCCTTTCTCTGAAGGCTCCTTTCACTTTCCTTTAAGCTTCCTCTCTTGAAAAACTCAGGGTTGGACTGCTGGGGTCTTACATTCAGCTCCCCATAATTGCCAAGTTCCCCAGGCTGGTCCAAAGAGCATCATTTGTTAGGGATCCCAAATAATACAGTTTGCATTCAGCAATAAAACATTAGTTGGATGCAGACAGTCCTTTGTAAAGCATACCCTCTGTAGGAGAGCTGAACTTAGTCTCATTAACAAATGTAGACAGATCAGACGGTTGGGGGTAATCCTGCTTGTCCGTGTTCAGGTCCACAGTCATGCAGGTCCATTTCTGACTGGTCACTGACGACGCCAGCTTCTCCTCATCGGTCGCATGAACCACCGTGGATATGACGGGAGGTGTTTCTGGAGTAGGCAATGGAGTGGGATCCTGCAGAAAACAAATGCCAATTAATACTATTATCTTTCATTAACACGCTGAATAGTTAACTGAATTCCTTTGCACAACCACAGTCATCTTTTTAATTCCATGCACTTGGCTGCAGCTCTGTATAAAATACTCAATGAAAAATATTGAAGTATTTCATTTAGAACTCTACTAGTAGCAAGTTTTCCCAGTATAACTAAACTCTTTTATGATAAATGCATTGCAAAGCTGCCTTGATAAGAAGGAAGAAAGAAAATCCAGAGGCGTTTAAATCTGTTCGACACTTGACGTAAGTGGCACACATCACCCATGACCGAAGTCTTTGACTACCAAAATCAACTTTTTAGGCTTCCCTCACAGGAGCAAACCTTCGTAGGTCTGCGAGGTCACGAACCCTTTCTTTGCTTCCAGGCTGTCGAGCAGCACAAATAAAAGGGTAGGATGGATAACAGGAAGAGGAACAGCAGCACAGAAGGAGCTGTGCCACATCAAAGCAGTTAGGCCTCTGTAGGCAGAACAGCATTTGTTAACTTCTCTTCCAAAAAAACCACCTGCCGGTAGTTTACAACAAGGAATAAAACCATCCAAGCACATGTTCCTGGTAGATCAGCCCACTTGTTTTATTTCTATTTCCCCTCCAGCCCACTGATTTGATGCATTTAGTTTCTTAGTTTCTAATCTAAAAACTCCAGGGTGGATAGTTATGTCTAGTTTTTCAGACAACCGATTGAAGATATTTATTCATATCATTGCTCCACAGGACTTTCCAAAGTGCATTTACTAATAGTCTAACTGGAATTCCCAGAGCAAATACTAGATCTAATACACGTTGCATAGATGCTTCTAGAGACCAAAAGGTTAATACCATATCATTATAGCCCAATGTGCTATACGTGGACACCAACATGCTTATATTCTTTACAAAAACTTCTTCTATTATTAAATGTACAATTCTACAATTAAATAAATCAAATTTCCCTTTTTTGCCCCTACAAGAACACACATCATATGCGTCAAAATAAAGCAGTACTTTACCTGAGAAGGAGGATCAGATAGTGGGGATCTTTTTGGTGATTTTTTCACCCTAAATGTATCACTGAAAATAAATTTAAAACAGTTAGTATGGTAAATACCAGCAAGAATCAGGTCATTTCATACTTAGCAAGACAGCCACAGACAATGCAACCTCTGTAAGCCCTTCTGCTTTAAAATCCCATCCATTAAGCAGCAGCACCACAGAGAAACATGCCATAGTTACATATCCTTGTCATGCACTTGGAACAGGCCTCGATTCCCCAAAAGCTGAGAAAAGCAGTATTGCCATATTTTTCATGCTAACGATCATCATGTTTACAGAACAGAGTTGCTGCTCGATTGCAATTCAAACTCCTGCTCCACCACAGACATCCTCAGTGGCCTTAAGCAAATTATTTAGCTTCTGTCTGCTTCAGTCCCCCATCTGAAAATTAGGTCTAAACGACATCTTTACCTGAGAATTAAACTTGGGCATTAAGCTCCAAGGACCACATAAATCATTAAGAAAAAAATTGGTATGCTTTGGATGAACTGCATAAGAACAGCTGAGGCAGATGCTGTTCCCAGGATGCCAGAACAAAGCTCTATCGTTACAAATGTGCAAAACGGACCCTCTTTAAAACAAGTAACAAAATACAGCAATTCTGCTTCCAGTTCCCCTGACAGTTCACAGTGCAGACTGGGAGCACGGACACTGTAGCCCTTCAAAATCCCACAGGTTTCAATCAGGCGAAAGGAATGAAGAACATACATTATGTCTTGGTGTATAATTATGAAAATTGCCTTTATGTTTATTCACAATTGGTTACAAATATTTTCTAATCAGGAAAGAAACCAATTATCTACCTGTTGTCTTGATGCCTATTGCCAGAGTTATTCAAACACATTTTTGTTACTAACTAGAAGAAGGAGAAAAATATCACAGCAAACTCCCTGATAAAGACTTAATGTTTGAACCGAGATGCAGTGGCAAAAATTACTGCCCACCAGCTCATCCCTGATCAATGACGGCAAGATCAACACTAGAAATTATAATGGTGGCTTTCAATCGGTAGAGGGTAAATCAATACCACATCTAGAGGGGAAAATAAATTGAACAGCTGAATATTGGAGTGTTCGATGCTACTAATTATCTAGTTATGAAGCTAGAAGTAATTAGGACAACTTATTCCTTTAAGAAGGAGAAATGCTTTATGCAGTATTTTTGAAAGACTGATTGTACAATGTTCTTGTACAATGGTAGAAATATAACTTTCATATTTTAGCTCAAGGATACAAAATCTATCTAGTTTTTAAAAGAGAATCTTCTTTGATAGGCAGACAGATAATGAGGCGATAGATTCCTCAAACTCATTCTCAGCCAGGCATCTTACTTAAAATAACTTTCAGATGTGCCAGTGAAGTGAAATAGTTAACACAAAAGCTTCATGCTGAATAATAACTGAACATGCTGCAAAATAAATAAGTAAAATTAAAAAGCCCATAAGTCAAAGAGGAAACTTGAATTGTTAGCTTAGAATTACTTACAACAGAGAACATACAGACATCACATCTTCTACCATCCTAAGACAAATAAGACAAAGAAAAGAGAGACAGACAGAAGGAACTGACAAAAAAGATAAACCTACAAATACTCTGTTAATGTTAATGTGTTAAGGCAGTCTGATCATGCATATTTGCTACCTGTATTTTCTTAACCTCTACTTTTTACTGTGAAACACACAGGGAAAAATAATATTCATCAAGTCCTGCGATATTTTCAAATGCAATGCTGTACTTTTGACACGCTTTCATCTTACAAAACACATTTTTCAAAGCTGATGCCTCCAAGTTAAGTTCCTTTCAACATACTAACTGATCCTGCCTTCCCTGATGGTAGCCACCTGCTTTCTTTTCAAAACACAGTATTTCTTATTATATGGGATGTAAAACTGTTCTCGAATGGCAGCTAAGCTTAAGGAAAGAGCACAGCTATGCAAGGTTTATTCATGTCTCCTGATTTGTTATGACAGTACAGAAAAAGCTACTTGACCATTTCAAACCATTTACCTAAGTGAAGAAAGAAAATGACATTTCTTTAAATCTCATCTATTTTGGCTCTCATGGAAACCTAACTTTGCGTTCTGACAGAACAAATTAATTGCCCCACAACCAGAAACAAACCTTGCCAAACAATTAAGGCTAAGAAAAATTTTCATCTACTTATAAGCCTGGCAGCTTCTGCTCGGCTCTTCTCACGTACAATTCTCTTGAAAGCTGGCACCTTGCGTTTTTAAACACGCCCTCCAATAATCCAGCAGTTTTGAGAGCGATGTCTACACAAGCTGCCCATTTCTACCCATCCCCAGAAGCAGGCACTCGGGAGGCATCAGCTGCTCTTTGTTCAGCATCATCTGAGCAATATGATCTATCTCAAAACAGCTCAGCACTCAGGTGTACGACCAGAGAGTAATTTGCATCGAGCTGACATCTCTCCTAAAAATCTCATCTTTTCACACCGAGGTCAACTCTTAGACTGCTGCAGGTTTCATTCAAGAATAAAAACTGATTATTTTAATTGATTTAACGCAGGTAAGACCTAGCATATGGCACAGATTCACAGCAGTGCAAGCTTAGCAATGGCTTTAACTCATGCCTGGCTTCTTCATCTCCCATAGAGAGGTGAATCTAGAAATTGCTGTCTTTCCATATGAGGAACACATTTTCAAACTGGTTCATAGAGTTTTATTTCTGCACCCCTCAGCAGTGCTAATAAAAACTCCTAGATTTGCAAAATTGTCTATTAATTACGTTAAAGAAGTCCTGGTATATTACAGTATCATTTCCTAATTCAAACACCCTCCTTTCTGCCCCTTGGAGCTGAAGCTGCACTGGCTTCTCTCTCCTGTCCCACCACGGGAGCATTGCCAAGGAGGGTCCGACACCCCATCTCCCTGCCCGGCCAGGGGTTCTCCTGCACCGCACCCCACGGAGGAGACATGCCGAGGGCCCTTTTCAGGGAGAAGACAAATAAAGCCACTGCTTCCCCTGGCATCCCCCAAACAAGCGTTAGGCTGATTTTCTTCTAGAAAGCATTATGGCTGCAGGCTGCAATGTATATTAATATGCAGATTCTCTTCTTTGTTAGAAACCATTGCAAAAGTAGGTTACGGGACTGCAGCGAGCAAACACATAACACAAGGCAGCGAAAGTGGTCCCAGGAAAAGGCTGGGAATTCCTGAAAACCTCCTGACCTAAGAACCTGTAAGCCCTGCTCTAGGGTAGTTTCATTTCTTCCCCCGTGACCAAGAGCAGCACTGAACTTTGTGACTGTAGGACAGGCCCTTTCCGTGATGGATTTTCCCAAGGATGGATGTGGTTTAGCAAACTCTTTGTGAACTCATGTTGTCCCTAAATTAACAACTTTGGAATCGATTCTAATATTCATAGCAGATGGGTGGACCCCAGAGGTTTATACTGGGGGTCTGTCTGGTCCACTGCAGCTCCTGGAAGACACAAGGAGACTCTGCCTGGCAGCAAATATCGGACTTAAGGATCTGGTGATATTATAATTCCCCTCTCTCCCTCTGCATCTCCCCAGTAAGATTCAAATTGTTCCTCTCTTGCAGTCAGACTTCTAAGTCTTCTTGGTTTGGACCAAACGAGTTTGGACTGCAGGCTTGGAAAATATGTCAGCTTGGCATGCATCTTCATTCCCACCTTAACTCCTGCTAAATTTCAGGCATACCTCAAAAAGAAGCAATATCGGTAAAAACAGGCTTCTCCCCTCAAAAAACAACTCAGCTATAAGGTGGTCTAAACTTTCCATAAGTCAGAAATGCCACTAAAAAGAAAAAAAATGGCACTAGCTTCCTCAGATCTGGCAAGGGACGTGAATTAGAAGCCTAGAGGATGGCAGGCTGCTCAGAAAAACGGAATAATCTCCATCTCACTCCGTAAGAAAGGTCATCTTTTGTACTGTTTTACATTAACCATGTTATCTTCAAGTTGCCAGGCTTTTAATTTTTTTTAGTCACATTTTTGTTAGCTAGCTGAAACTTTTAAACCTTAAAGGGACATGCACTGAGATACTGTCTTCTAGATACACACAGGATATCAATTTCAGATAAATGGGATATAAACTTACTGATTACCAACTCAAAATAGCCATGTCTGAACAGATAAGGTAACATGCAACCCAGCAAGTTAACCATGGAATCAATGCAACTAGCCATTGAGGTTTTTAATCGAATATCTAAATGCAAGCAGCTAGGAAATTTATCCTGCAATTTGTCAGCTGTGGCTAAAAGCTGGATGTTTCCCGATTGTGTAGCAGTCTAGGAGATTTAAACCCTTCTGCAGAATTGTAAGCTCTTTCACAGAAAGGAAATTTTTCATATTTTTTAGTCTTGTGTTTAAAAAAATAATTTCAATACTGCACTCTTTTGTTTCAGGTTATTTTCTTTTAAATACCATACATCACTGGATAAAACCATCTTCCTGCTGTGTGTAATAGGAGATTTGTCATTGCCTCACTATTTCACATCCTACTCTTAAAAACTATGATACATAAAACAGTCTTTACTGGTGTGACTACTTTGACCATCTTAAACAGTATCAAATTCCCAAGATGAGGTCACAGAAAATTTGGCACAAAGTTGATAAATTTTGGACTTAATCAGATTCAAAGCTACACTGAGCCCCAAGACTCCAAAAATCCACTTGCCAGTCCAGTGGCCTAATCTGGCTTGATTTAGCCCTGGTTCTCTCCTTCACTCTGGAAACATCAAGCTGTTGAGGAAACCGGTTGAGTTTCCCCGGCATGAGTCCAGTTGTGTGGCTACCAATGCTCAACGGCATCTTCCTTTCTCTATTCAAATATAAACCGGGTGTAACTGCGCTAAGGGGTAGGAACGTGCTTCTTCAAAGCTAGAAACATCTGTGCCCTTTAACTTACGTTTTTAGTGGCGTCTTCTTCTTTTTCGCAGGCTTATTCAAGCTGTCTCCATCAGTTCCATTTGTTTCGTTGGCACTGGCTGGTATCTCAAAGGAAGCTGGCGATTTAGAGGGTGAGCTGGCTATCTTAGAAGATGACTTGAAAGGGTCAATAGAGTCCTCACACATGTCTGGCTCAAAACTGTATGTCTGTTGAGGCAGCTTGGGCGATTCTTGCATTTTTGTACTAGATGAGAATGGGTTAAAATTGGGATCATCCCACTTATCAATATCAAAAGTGTAAGAGCCTTTTGTAATGGGGATTTCATTTGGATCAGTGGGTGACTTGGTCGGTGTGGTTGGAGCATTGTCAAGCTTTTCCACTGACTTTTTAGTCTTTGGCCTCCGTAGTGGCATTTTAGCACCAGGCTTTTTACCTACTTTTTTGGGAGGAGGAGTACTCTCCTGCTGGTCTTCACTCACCCCTTTTTCTTCAGAATAATCAAACTCCAGCCTCACCGCAATGCCTTTGACTGGAGGGTCTTCTTGTCCTCCAGTGTCAGGCGGAGTCACCTCCACAGCCTCCGGTGCCGTTGTAAGAGGTAGCGTTTTCTTATTGGCAGGGGGAGAGTTTTGTACTTTGCTGCCTCCAGTGCTAAACGCACTAATCCCTTCAAAACTGTCTGGATCCAACGGGTAGGATCCTTCAGGCACAGGCGGGGCCTCCTGTTTCTCAGCAGAGATTTTAGAAGGTTCAGTACATTCGGGCTTTACCAAGTCAGCCTTTGCTTCAGATACTGGTTTATCCTCACCTGGGGCACAAGTTACTTGGCCAAGGTCAGACGGTTCCTGTGGTGTTTCCTTCACTGGTGGAGCATCCAGAGGTTTTTTTGCTGACTGCTTCTTTTTTAAGGAAGCTGGTCTGGATTTCTTTGTTCTCTTAAGGGTACTAGAAGCACTACTTGAGCCAGTACCGTACACATCTGCTGCCGGTGCTAACGTCTCACTATTGCCAAGATAAGATGCTCCATCAAAATCACTTGCTTGCAAGCTAAGAGATCGAGACAACGTAGATTTGGAAACTGGGACTGAATCGGTAGATTTTCTTCGAACATTCGCTTTGGGATCACGAGTCTTCGATTCTGGAGAGCTTGGTCCTAAGGCATGGAGAGAATCAACCAACTCAATGTTATCAAAGTCCAAGTTGTAAGTTCCACTGCTGGCTATTGGCTTGTCCTCATCGAAGACGGTGGAAAACGAATGGGAAGGGGGACGGAAGGGGCTTTCTTCAACTGATTCACTGTGTGACACATCAGTTACGGGTACAGTTTCTGAACATAATGCTGTGGGAACAAACAGAAAACACTGTGAATTTTAAACACATTTTTAAAACTGGAGCTTAATAAATTTTACTATAATATTACTACAAGTAAAAAAAATAAATGGACTACGCAATAATTAAAGGACATACAAACAAAAGTGACATTTCCAATATATAAACTAGATTAGGGGAAAAATAGTTCTGTTCTCTCCAGAAAAGGATTTAAGGCAAGTTTCATGAAAACACAAAACATGTATTTGCAATATCCTCTAGAGCATCTCTTCTAAACTAATTATCACTTAGTTAAAGAGATGGATATTACCATAACATGCTATGCCAAATACCAGAAAAACTGAACCTTGAGCACTTTATTACTCCTGTTTTCTACTTTTATAAAGAGTTCACGGAACTGTGTCAGAGCTTTTATGCAGTAAATTCCCTGTAAATTATCTGGTGCTTCAGCAATTACATGTTGATCTTAAGTTATGTTTCCCATGTGCTATTTTTACCAGCTACCCAGAGGAACATGGCTTCCTCCCCATAACCCATCAATGCTACTCCTCTCACTGCCTCAAGCAGTCAATACGCTCAACTTTGACCTCATAATTCCAAGTTTATAATGAGACATGAATCACTGAGTATTTCATACGAAAGAAACTATGGTAAATGTAAGAAATTTAGTCAATCAGAGAACTGTAGAAATATTCTCAGTTGAAAATCTTCCTTAAAACAGACCGTTAGAAGCTCCCTACAAATTACTTAAAACTGATTTCTCAGAGTGTAGTTCTAACTCATAGATGAAAATTTTATAGAGAGAATTATATTTTTAAAACTGTTTGTTACACTGAGCAGCTTTCAATTGTAATTAAAGATTTGAATGGAATCCTATAAAGATTTCTAGAAGTCTCTTGACTTGAGACCTGGGAAGTCTCTCTCCAGCTCACAGCTCAGGCTGGGGTGAGCCAGCTCTGGACTGGATTGAAACACCCCGGTCTTTCCTATCGAAGCAACGCAACATTCTTCAATTTTTTTAATTATGTAGTTATAAAAAAAAAAGTCAAACAAAAATGAATGCTTTTCTCATCCTTAAATGATTTCAGAGAAATTTCTACACCTCTTTTTCATCCTAATCTTGACATGTTTTGCCAAGTAATTCCCATTTTGCCCAGCTACATTCATTAACATTGTTCATAAAAGCAATACAGACAGAGAATCAATAACTACTTTTGGTTAGAAGCTATGAATGGATTAAGAACAGAAAAAAACAGTTTTTCTTTGTTTCAGAGGAAATAGTACGTCTGCATAGAGATTACAAGAATTGTTATTTATGGATGTAGAGGACAGAAAAGATTTAAGGAAACTGGACACATTTTCCAAAGCAGTACCTGAGTCTGGCACCACGTATCTCCAGGGATTGTCACAGGAATGACAGCTACACAGTTTCTCTTTTAAGACCGAGGAATTTTACTAAATTACATCAATTAAAATAATATTTTAATGTGTTTTTCTGCTAAATGAATACTGATAACACGGTACTACTTCAGGGCACTTTATTTTTCTCCTTCATCTCCACTGGGTTGGGCTTGGTTTCAGTCTGGCTGAGAGCTCATTAATTAGACTTGATTTGCCAGCCGAGCTGGTGCTTACTTCACACACGCATCACTTTCTGACACTAATGGGACCACTGTTAAGGGGACTCAAAGAGTGCCATAAAACTCCAGCATTAAGCTAATCTAATCTATACATTTTACACTGAAACGGGAATGGAAGACACTTAAGGGGAATACATCGCAACAAACACTGGCGGAGCTCTACTACGTCAGCAGAGTATAAATGTAGGTCAGCATGAAATAAAAGGGGATGCAAACAAGAAGTCATCTGCAATTATGCATCGTTTTCATTCCAGCATGCACCAAAGGCCTCAACAGGATTGAGGCCCCTTGTTCAAAGTCAGTATAAACATGCATTTAAACAAAATAAAATAAAATAAAATAAAGCAATGCCCTACAGGACTTGGACTGTAAATAACAGGCTGGTAGAGCTGAGGTTAGGGATGCATCACAGCAGCAAAGAGAGTGTACAAGGCTTTCCAGCTACTCCAAGCAAAACAGCATTCAAATTTGGTGCGTTCCACATTGTGCAGAGCTTTAATCTTCTTTAATTGCTTATTTCTCAACTTCCGCCTAATCAAATCCTTTACTTAGAGTACAGATTTCTGCAGAGTGTCGCTCGACTCGCTACTGTGATATTTTTATTGTTTCTTTATGAAAAATATGTCTCAGAAAACACAGCTTTTGGTAGAAGTGAAACGCTGCTGTTGTTAGACTCTCCTGGCGTTACAACAGAATTGGCTCAGTACTAGCAACAGCAGAAATGCTGGAGAGGAAGACATGAACGGTACTCGCTATTGCAAGAGAACACGGCTTTACTACTACAAAGACATATGAAGACCTGACATTAACAGCATTAACTCCAAAAAGCAGTGCCATTTCTCCTTTTACATCACAGAATTAAGCAAATCAGTATTACCAATCACAGTATTTTATTAAAATGCAATTTGATCGCAAAGGAACAAACTACAACACAACCTATTACAACACAAGCTATGAAAATTATGGCAGGATTTGCCCTAGAGAGAGCCCAGCACAAGGTTTTAAATAAGGTTTACGCCTTTCCTTGGCACTGACAGTCACCCGCAATTTATACAGATAAGAGCTGCCCACAGGTAAATATTAAGTTTTATAAAGCATTCCAAGAAGATGAGTGATAGCAGGGAAGCCTACCTTGCCATAAAAACCAACCAATCCCCCCCAAAATCCCTCCCTCCTCATGCATTAAAAAAGAAGGTCCAAGTTCTGCTCCTTCCGCAAGGAAATTTCTCTGATTTCAGAGAAATTTGCCTGGATCAGGTATGAAACCCAAAAACAACCCCAAAACCAAAAGCAACAACAAAAAACCCCCAGACTTCTTGTATGCGGGTGACGAGACCTCTAAATGAGAGCTCCATGACATGCTCAATGCCTGGCATTTTCACCTGCCACCTATTATGGCAGAAGCAAAAGGCCTAGAAAGATATTATAAGGCTGTTTACATTAATAACCAAAAGACATTTCTGTTGTTAGTATCAACAAAAAGGAATCAAAAAAATAAAAAAATGCTTCTTGTCAACTACAGATTTATTTTTTTTTGTACATTACAAAAGACCATGATTTTGATGGCGCTTGAGATGCTAGTAAAGCTTCTATGTCCCACAAGAACAGCGAGGTAGATACATACCTCGCTTGACTCAGCCTTCTTTAAACAAAGACCCACAAGTGATCCGAACAGGAACCAATCCCATGCCTGTGGTCCAAACTGTGGACTGATCAGGATATAAAATTTTAATTAAATTTCTACCACTGCTTTATATCGAATGTGAAACGATAGGAGGCATTCATAGGTTTAGGTCAGCATGGGTATTAGGATTTACAGCTTTTTACAGCCTTAGGAAAGAAATGCAGAAATTCGGTGACGGTAGTTGCACAAGGAGCTCGGGAAGTAGCCAAGGCAAGGGCAGACTGGTTTCATTCTGACGCAGCATCGCCGATCTCTTCCTCACCCGCGGAGCTCTCCGTGCCTTCCTCCCTCTGAGCACTGCAGTACCCCAGGGCATCCCCTACCACAGCACAGGTAGTGTGCTCTCCGGGGACGTGTTCGCAAAAAGAAACATTTCCAAAAACTAAACTTTGGAACTTCAGTCTTGTTTTAAAGATAATTTAAAGAAGAAAATGAAATATCAGCTATAAGCTTATTGAACCTAAATCTGAACTATTTCTTTATAAATAATGAAAATATAGTAAGAGGTTAGAACATATAATTTACTTCTAGCTATTTTTAAATATTTTTCTCTTTAAATTATAACAAATTCTTCTAGTGGTGGAGCTGCACTGTGTACTAGGACATTTGAGCATTTTGTTCTTTCTTGAAGTATCTCTAAAACAGGGGGAAAGCCAATAGGCTAAAAATAGGCATTAACACTGTGAAACAAAATGAAACACTATTTTGAAAGGCTTAGAAGCAAAATTTCACCAGATCTAATAAAGTAAATACAGAAGAAATTAAATGCTAGTTCTGTTTTCTACAGAAAAGCAAAGACAAACCCTTGGAAAATGCATACAGTATGCACCCACGTACTCTGCTATAATGAAATAACGCAGGAGAAACGTACACTTTGTCGAAAACATATAGGAATTGGAATTACCTAATACTAGACAATCTGAAACTCAGTTTATTTCAAGTTCCTGCTTGTTATGAGAAGCCTTTGAAGTTAGGAAATCAATTAGTAGTGCTTTTTAAAAAAATTCTGTAAAAATACTTTTGCCATTCTGAGAGAAAACGTTGCATATAAAATTTATTTTCAATTTTTCTGTGTCAGGCTTCAAGAGAAAAAACACTGAAGCAGAATGTTTTCCATAACAAAAATTCAGTTTGTTTTTGTCTGGGTCATCATCTTGCTACTGGAAAGCCTAACCTCTGTTTCCCTGGCACAAGAAGGACCTGAATATAGATCTCCCATATCCTGAGCGGCCGGCTGTAGTGCGTAGAGGGTCTCCAGCTCTCACACCTCCCCTGTGCATATAATCGGAATTCATTAATCAATTGGGGAAGGAGGCAGGGAGGGCAAAAGAAATGCCCCTGCCTAGGCAGGAATTCCTGGCCAGAAACAGGGTATTTAATTTTTTTATAATTTAAAATGCTACCAAAATAATAAAAATAATAAAAAGCACCCTTAAAATCATTTGCCTCAAGAGTATAAACCATGTTCCCCACAAGAAACAAAGTATTTACAGAGGAACGGGAGGGCTCATTAGTGACACTTTCTGGGGTTCAGAGGTAGTTTCCATACATGCTCCGTTACTCCTCTTCCTCTCCAGACTTGCCCGCAGACTGACTCCCCTCTTCTGCTCTACTGCTGATGGACTGGAGCCATGCAGCAGGTTTTACCCCACCAGGAGCTGGCACAAACCCAGGATGAGTCTAGCTATATTTCACTTTCATCATATTTATTAAGCTAGCGTTGAAGTCAACCTAATTAAAAATGCTCCTCTTGGCTTTCCAGCAGTGGGGTCCAGCTGTTGCGCTAATGATACCATGCAGCACAACTGCAGCCGTCTGCATCCGTAATTATTGTCAGATATAGATGAAATAATCCTTTTAACACTTACTATGCTTCATCCTTCCATCCAAACACACGCTCCATCACCAATCCCATGTAGAAGACAAAGCCATGCAGCTGGTGAACCAGAAACCCAGCTGGACATCACTGCCTCTCCCTGTGCGTGTGCCAGGCTCTCCGGTTGCCCGTATTCCTTTTACTCCTCTTTTACTGAAACCTATTTATTTAGCTGTATGGTACCAACGAGGAACTCTGCTTCAACTGCCCATAACCCCAGAGGAAGGGACTCATTCTCTTTGTGTGCAGCCACATGCATAACCTATGAGGTAAGTAAACTACGAGATAACTGTTACTCCAGTGGTTTAGAAAGTACAAAACGTTTAACTGTTCGCATTTCTGAAGAAGCATGCAAACACCTAAGCTATGGTCTTAGTATTATTAATTTCTTCTAAAGATTTCTGAAACAAATGAACACTTTGTGCTGCCCTCCTACATTGAATTTTTTCTGCATTACACATCTTCCTTCCCCTGTTGTATAACTGCATTTTACATAATTTTGGAATGCTGAGCATAGCTCTGTTAGTTTGTGGTAACTTGCCTCCTGTGGACAAATCTTACTTGCAAATGAAATGTTTTCATCTCTGCTATCCAATGGCCTTCAATACAGTTCACACTGGCTGTGAATAGATATATTCAGTTTCCTACCTTTCTTCAAAAATATCTGAAAGAAAGGACGGGGAGATCTGGGATGGAGGGAGAAAAGAATCACATGTGCCAGGGAAGCACATGTGTAATCAAGGGTTTGAAGATAATCTGCTGCGGTAATTAAAAACACTCTCCAGTCCTGTTTAGCATATGTGTCCTTTTGTTCTCTCAGCACTTATTTTGTAATCATTAGATAACAAAAGATTAGAAAAAGGAAAGAAGATGGAGAGTGAGTAATGTTGTTTGCTACAATGAAGAGGGAACTCTAACAGCAGAAAAGAAAGTGTCGGGATGTCTCAGTATTTCATTTTTATTTTGTGGAATCAGTTTGTTGAACATCTTTCTAGCTTCCTATAAACTGTTATGATAAATCATGATCTTAAAGAGCTTTCCTTAATGCATAACTCCCAGGAATGCGTTAGGTGGCTCAAGACATTTGCAAATGACTTATTTGTCATTTTTCTGAAGGTTTAAATCAAAGACGGACAGCCTTTACAACACACACACCGCTTTGCCCACTGCTACACATAGCCACTTCTGCAGTGGAAATGGAAGCTTTAAAACACTGCCCAGCAATGCTATACATCTTTCCAAATGAAATACAAGTGAGCTTTAGTCTGCTTAGAGGAAAATTACCTTTATACAATTTAGCCAGGTGATCAAGCTGACTTGACTTTCAGATGGGAAAGAAGACAGCATAATGGGGAATTCAATCTGAAATTGTTGAGCTGTCATCTGACAGCCCAAACAAAGCTATTTTGGGCTAATAGAGTGCTTTCTACTCCCTCATATTCCATTACTCAATTTGAGAACAAAGAACACTTTTTTGGGGGAAACACTTTCTTTGTGGTTTTTTAAACAGAATATTCCCTTTTTAAAGGTTATTTTGCCAGTATGTACCAAATTTTATGTATGTATATTATACATACATTCACACATAATCCTGTGTTCCTCCTATACTGTACCATAGAGCAATACTGTACCTCAGAGCCAATATAAATATTTCTATTGTTCTGTGAGCTTTTTGTTTATCATCTGTTTCAGCTGATAATATGTTTGAAAACAACATTTAGTTAACCATCACTGTTAATGGTGCTCACCCAGGTACCTGCACCTGTATCTCACACCTCATTCTTTTTACTCATCTGACTCTTGTCAAAATCCTACAATTCTGAGAGGAGGGAATGAAGTTTGATTCAAAAGAAAGAAAGGTTTTTTCTAGAAAACTCCTCTTCTATTATTTGCCAAATGTTACAAATTCTCCAATACTTTATTCCAGGAGGTGACAGTTTTTTCCCTCGCAGCATGGATAAGGCCCAGCATACACAAACTAATTTCCCAGGAAAGGTTTTATTAGCATCAATTCCTTGCTTGTGCTGACACCAACACCTCCCTGCATCTTCACCTTCCTCAGCAACCTGTCCCACTCATTACATGCTCCTTACCTGTGTCTTCCAAGGGCAGCTGGGGTTTTATTTCTTGTTCTGCTATGTCTGCTACAACTGCTGCTGCCGCCGCCGCTTCGGGGGGTGGCTGCGGAGGTGAAGGTGGTGCCTTAACCGGTGTAGTGGACTCCGGGGTCTCAAATGCTTCTTCAGAGTCAGAGCTCCTGGTGAAAATCAAACGAGAGACTAGTGAGCAGCGTAAAGATTCATGTTTGCAGGTCATACTTGGAAATGCAGGGACAGACCTCAGCTATCAGGCTACCCCTGCATTTCCCAAAGGAGAATTTACATTGCAGCATGATTTCCAGAGCAGAACATCATGGCTATGGTCTCCATACGTAAGTATTTATGTCACTTAAGACTTCTTTGTGTTATAAAAGTGAACACACACTTGGAAATAAATCCGTCCTGCAAAGCCTGCTTTCCAGTGTGAAGGAGGTTCAGTCACACAGACAACATCACTGACACCCCCGTGTTAGTTTCTAAAACTCTCCTTGGCACAATCGTACCTTAATCCACTAAAAAAATAAAAATAAAAAGGATCTTCTCAAGAGATTTCACAGCTTCATCATAAAACCCATCTAAAATAGCATCAAATTTCTGCGTGTGCTCCTACAGGTGAGAAGGCAGGCATGGAGATACCTGAGGGGCAGCAAATCCTTGTGCCCCCTGCTCCCACGGAAATACTGCATTCCTTTTTTTTAGCAGAATTTTACCATAGCCCTTTTCAAACAGTAAGCGTATGACTTTGTTACACAAGGTAAGACAACCTGTAAAATGCACTGAGTCCTGGTATTAACAATAATCTTTTTCTAGCACCATGTGCTCACACAGACACAAAACCCCAGCAAGAAACCAGCAGCACCCAACATGGAGCCGTGAAGTTTGAAAGGCAGCAACTGTACGAAATGATGGGCAACCTCAACATTAAGTGAAGATCTAAACCACACAAGGATGCATAATTTGCTCTTACAGCAGTACTGCCTTGGGAAACTGTCCTTCCAGATCTGAAAACTACAGATCTTATTTGTTCTTAAACCGAACTGAGACCAAATTTTAGCATTTTTTCTTGAAGCCTTTTTTTGCGAGCAAGGAATGCAGTAACAATGGTGTCAGATTCCATATGCACTGAACGTATGTTCAATATATGTTCAATAAGCATTTCTGTTGGTCAGATGCAGATTTTTACCGCTGGTCTGTAATAAAGTGAATCGCATATATCAGAATTTCCTAAAGGACAGGACTGATCTGCCTATTTCCAGTGATTCTTTGCACGGCTGTAGTCTCCGCTGCTCCTCACGGCTGTCCGCACCCCACAGGCCAGTGCAAAGGGGCCAACATTTGCCATGAAATGAAAAGCCATTTCATCCCCCAGAAGCACTCTACAATCCGTCCTGAATCACGGATTCTTCTCGCTTCGATCCAGTGAAAAGATAACTCTGAGCTGCCAGATTCTGTTTGGTTTCTCAAAGTTCACGATTACTTTAAGCAGCTCGATGTCAGGAGAAGTACAAGCACAGGATTTGCATTCGATTACATTTGCCTAAATCTATCGCAGCACGAAGCCTTCGGCGAGCTGGGGAAGCAAAGACCCCGCTGTCACCCCCGACAGCTTGAGGAGCAGAGCGGACCCCCAGAATCCCAGTGAGAGCTCCCACCTCCCCGCACGCCGTCAGGGCACGCGCCACGGCCCTGTCTCATCACCTCTACTCCTGTGCAAAGCGAAAGCATTTCTACTAGCTAATAGCTTTGGATGTTTGCCTTACTTGGGGATTTTTGAAGATTTTTTTTTTTATCCCCAAACTTATGTCACTGCCTGGGGAACTGCTCAAAAATAGTGCGCCTGGCTTTCGATGCTATCTATTGCTGCAGCTTCTCCAAATACCTTCTTTGTGTCGTTGCTTAAACCGTACTCATTCATCAGGCCACAGAACAGTCCGACTGGAAGAGGTAGGCTGCAGCATTTTAAAGTATATCCCTTCAAAGATGCACCACCACGTTTTAAGTTCAAAATATTTTAAGCTTCGGAACAGCTGCAAACAAAGAGCTTCTCTAAATAAAGCTGCACAATAGGTATTGAACAAAATAATGCTTTCTCCTCTTTCCACAGAGCTGGTTCAGGAAACTTTTAAATCGAAGAATCAGAGAAAAACAGAGTTGTGTGATATTTTTCCAGTAGAGAAACGTTTCTTCTGTCATAAAAATAAACCTAGAAAGTTATTATCTAAATGAACAAACTGAAAGGTAATTCATATCTCTCAGGCTTTCGCATAATTCTTCATTGTGCTGTAACTTAATTAATGTTTTACTCCTTCCATTTCAAACTCAAAATGTTGCTCTTTAATACTGAAACAATAACGTTTAGACTCCTTTTTTTCCAAACTATCTGTATAGCACATGTAACAGACAGAGTAAATATATAGATATATGTAATATAACTGAAACTGAAAAAAATCTCCATTTTCACATCCTACTCATATTTGTAACTGCTTTGTTAAACTGGCTTGATGGAGCACTTCTGCGTCCTCCTCTATCTAAATGATGGAAAGACTCTGCACATGTTCATCTCCCTTTGAAACGAGCTACCTTTGTTTCCTTGGTCTCTTCCTTGGCTGAGGTGGGCATAAGCATTCGAAGTAAAGAGAAATGTTTGTTCTTTTCTGTTCACTGTATGAGCTTCCACTCTGGGGAACTTCCCAAGTCCATGGACAGACGGTTGTGCCTCAGCTCCAGCACAAGGCTTTGTTTTGCTAATATTTAATAATCCCCAAAAGATTCTGATGCAATACTCCTAATTTTCAGCTGCACCCCTCCGTAAGGAGCAGTGTAATCAAGTAAGAACTGTCTTAACTATAATCCAAATGCTGCTGAGTTTGTGATGAGAAGTAATCATGCTGGCAAAATACAGTATTTAACAAAGAAATATGAAGGGAAGCTGAATACCAGAAAAACGTTCTTTGTCATAGCCTGGGATCTGGGAGAGAGCATAAAGCCTGGAAGCACGTACCAGGACTACGTTCCAAGGTCTATATTCCGTATATCCTGGAAAAATCAGATCCTGTGTTCAGTTTTCCTTAGTGAAAATACGGATGGCCTCTCTTACATAGGATATTTTTAAGACTATAGTCCTACTTTTAAACTGTAAGAAAAGATTTTCCCAGAACAACAGGATTTCCTGTGAAAAGGAAATTACATTCTTCAGCCAGTTCTATTCATAATGTCTTTTCTCTGAGAAATACATGGAATACCCAGAAAGAAAATAATGCTGCTGTGAAGTTCATGGTGTAACACAGATTGCCAAATTGGGATACGCCGTGAGAATCTGCACCAATTCAAAGCTGTGCACTGAGCAGCCACCACGGATCCAACTGTGCCCAGGCTCTCACGAAAGGAAGAGCCCTTGAATCATCTGGAATATTATTCTGAAGCTCCAGCCAAGGATGAAACAGGGTGAGATGGGATGCATGGAGTTTAGAGGTGGAGAACTCATTTGCTGGCCCCAGCTCTTAATGTTGTGGAGACGGGGTGTGCAACTGTAGAGTTCAAGTCTGAGGGCTAGTTTGTGGAGCAGCGATGAAGTAAAAGCTACAGGAAGGACCATACACTCACATGTCCCTTTAGCCAGCTTGGGAAATTAGTGGGAGCTTGCCTTGATAGCCTCTGTCATATTTTTCCATCTGTATCCTTTGGGTTTTGTACGTAATGGGAAGAAAAGTATAGACTGTAGAAGCTACAAAGTGATTAGATGATAATAACAGAATACAAAACAGCCAGAAATATTTGCTAGTCCATCTCTTTCAACTCCCTTCTTGAAAGATACCAGTAAACGTAAATGTAACACACAGAGATGGGCGAGAGAAGCAGGGGAGAAATGAGAAATGCAAGACTCATGCTAGACCGATGCAACTCTGGCAACACCGCATCACCTTCTGGAGCAGGAGTGCTCCCACCCTCATCTGGGAGCTTTGAGGTCTTGTCCAGCCTGCTACATAAATCTCCAGAGGAAATTCCGAAGGGAGTCACTAGGGTTGACTTTTCTTCACCTTTGGCCCTGCTGAAATCCAGCCTCATATGTTACATTACCTATTTTTATAAGCCACAGATGCTCATAATTTTAAGCCCTTCTCTATTTCAGAATGAAAAATTGCCTTTTTGTCACTGTGGCTGGAAAGCAGTCAGTAAGCAAGAATGAGATTTCTTCGTTCCACTGCCTCTCCTCACTCTTTACCCTCTTCAGGCACGACAGCCACTGAAGCAAGGTCATCCTAGTCGTCACTTGGAAACTCAATTCATTAAAAAATAGTTTGCAACAGAGCTGTGGCCTTCAGCCACATCAGGAACCCTGCCATCTGTCTCAGGTTCTTCTAATATTTACACTACAGCAGTACGACCAATGCAAGTGTGCACTCTGGTTTTACTCCACAGGCTTTGCACAAGGACTGAGGTCAGCAGCATCACTTCCTATGGAGGGGCACAAGGGTGCAAAACTGGAATCCCTTTGTATGTGCCAAGGGAGCTCCACAGGCTTTTGTAGAGTTACTTCACTTAAAGTCAAATCTATATAGAATTTTTAGTTAGTTTATAGCCTGCTTCAGAAAAAGCAAACAAACCAACCCAAAAAACCATGCCTAACTACTTGATGGAGCACTGATCTATGGATGTGCAATATGGACAGTCTGGAGAGGAATGGGTGTGGGATAGTTTGAAGTTTTGAAGCCCGGAGCTGGAGTTGCATCATCGAGAAGCACTGCCTGTGCTGGGAGTGGGGAGAAGGGGATGGAGCCAAAGCAGCTGCTCTCCACCAGCTGGGGTTGTGGAACCACAAGTAACAACATCAAGACCAGCTTCATGGGCATCTGCTCCATCAGAGTAAGGTGAACAGCCTCTGGCCATCTGTATAAATATATTTACATTTGCATATTTTCTTCCAAACTTTGCATTTAGGAAGAAGTATGTTAAATTTGCTCATTAGTGGAACATGTCTCACACTAATTAAGGTGTCTCATAGCTGTCAGCGATACCACTGATGCCCAGCTAGCACTTCATAAACTCATCCTGCTTGTTGGTACTCAAAGAAAACTCTATCCACTAATCGTTTTGTTTCTATGTACCTTTGTTTTATTGACATCAGACCAGAGGTGACGATTTCATTCTCATGGTGTAT